GCAAAATGGGGGATCGCGGGGGCATTTTATTTACAGGCACGCAGGCATGGCTGGTTCTCTTCGTCGGGGGCTCGGAGGTGCCTCCTGCAGAAGTTACTTGCAAGCAGAGCGGCGAAAGTCACCCCCCTCCCCGAATCCACAACCAGGCGAAGAAGACCGGCTCAAGGCGATAGGAGCTTCAAGTCCACTTGCCAAAGCCACTGCCCCCTTTCTCTCCTCGACAGGCTTCTCCAGGGTCCATTGAGGCCAAGTTTCCGAGCCCAAAAGTCCAAACTCTTTGCGGACCTCCAGTGGTGGTGGAAAGCTTTGCCCAGGGCGATTGGTCTGGCGGCTCTTTTGCTGGGTTGCTTAACAGGGTTGCTTTATTTACATGATGCCACCGGCGAGCAGGCTGCACAGTCAAGTTTATGTTTCTCAACTCCAGAACTCAGAGGAGGAGGAGTGTTCTCTGGGCTGCTGAGACCACTTGCCGAGAGGTGCGTGGGTCTGCATGCCCGTGAACTGCCATGTTCAACATACAAGCTGTAGCCTGCACAAACCACGCCAGGCACACGCAGAAACACACCCGGACGCGCACACATCTCCATCTCCCCCAGCTCTAGTGCCCACTGATGGTTGTGGTGGGGGGACCAGCTTGCACTTCGCAAACAAACAACAAACAGCAACAATAACAAAACGGGAGGACTTATTTCTTGCACTCCAATTAACATTTAAAAACAGAATTAAGTCCTGCCCAGAATCCAGTTAAAAAACTCGCCCCTCACCTTCCTCACTCTGAGCTATATCTCCCAACAATGTCACCTCCTAGCAGCTTCCAATACGTTAAGGAGGGATTCCAGGCAGGGGGACAGGAAACAGGTTCGCTTAGCTGTGTGTTTGCACGTCACACCGAGAGGTCCTTCGCAATTAGCCTGTGTGCCATTAACGTGGCTTTACACCGAGATCCCCAGCCTATGAGGGAGAGGACCTTATCCTGATGGACCTTCCGAGCGAGAAATAAAGTTGTCTTATGCAAAGCCCCAAATGCGTGCTAGGAATTTAGAGGGAGGAGGAAAAGAAGGAGGGTGGAGAGAGAGGGAGAGAGAGAGAGAGGAGAGGGGCACTTGTAAAACTTTTATGCCAAACAAAGTTATAAAAACTTTCCATGCGTTAAGATATCAAAAGGTTTATAACAATAATAAAGCTTGAATGTGTGCTGGTGTGTGTGTTTGTGAGAGAGAGGGGGGGGAGAGAGAGAATGAGAGAGAGAGAGAGAGAGAGAGAGAGAGAGAGAGAGAATTCTAATATTCTAGCAATATTAAATCGCTGAGCAACTGAGTTAAATATTAAGTACCATAAACACCAGGCTTGGTTCGAAATCGGTATTTGTAATGTGTGAGTCCATATATATTCAAATGGATGTCATGTGTGTGTGTGTGTGTGTGTGTGTGTGTGTGTATCCCACACCCACAAACCCACACCCACGTATCGCCGCCTGCTGCTGGACTCTTAACTCAGTAGGCGGGAACATTTAAAAAAAAACGAAAAAAGAATCTGAAGGCCTTTCTGATTCCGGTTTATTACAAAAGGGTTAAAGGTGATGGACTTGACTCCATTGAAGTTCAAAGACATCATATATTCACATTTTTTGTTGTTGTTCTTGTGGTCTTCGTCTCTCCCCACCCCCCCAAAACACAATGCAACCAACATAACGCTAGCGTATAAAGTACAGTTGGCTATTAGGCTATATTGCCTCTAGATGCCTCGACTTTGGGGAGGGAAGGGAGGCAGAAGGCTAAAAAAATTACACCCCTGCTCCTAAATGGTACCCCCTCACTCCCCTAGCTAAATAGTCCCCTTCCAAAAGAAAAAGGAAAACCCCCGAAGAACATTAACGGGTTATCCCTACCTCGCACTGCTGCTTAATACCCTTGTAAAGTCCCACATGGTCTATAAACTTGGATTTTACAACTGGCATTCCATTTTAGCTCGAGAAAACTTTGAACTAGGCCTCCAGTTTCATTGTGTCGCAGCCCCAGCCAAAGGAGGTGGGATGGGGGGGGCGGAGAGGAGAGGAGAGGGGGAAAGTTAGGAGTCAGAGCGTGTGTGTGTGTGTGTGTGTGTGTGTGTGTGTGTGTGCAAGGGGGGGACTGGAAGAAAGCTAAGCAAAGACACCCTTATTTGTTTACTATTTACTGCGGAAGTCTTTTTCTATGGCCAGACGGTGGTAATTAAGGAAAAATTAAGCTGTTTAGTGCTGCAGTCTTTATTACAATGTCTAGACTAGTCGCCCCCTTTGTCCAGACAACGGCCGCAGTCACAGGGTATTGACTGGACTTTGTGACCTGGCGATGTGCACCTTATTGCACCTACGTTTTAAGTTTCTCCCTAACCTTGGAAAAGTTTAGAAGTCGCCCATTAAAGAGAGGCGGGAGCCTTTCTCCCCCATCAGAAAGATGCGCCATTTTGTTTCCTCTGTATTCCCCGCGTGTGAGTGGGGTGGTTTTGGCTCCACTTTTCTCCTAAGGGCTGTTTCGGACCTTCTTTGGTCCACCTTGGGTTCCAATGCACTTCCCACACCCTTCTGTGCTCTGGGCACCACAAACCAAAGAATCACCCGTGACAAGGACATATTTACAGTAGACCTTGATTGTCTAATCCAAGGAAGAGGGAGGTTATAGGCCCTACATCCGTATTCGCCAGACTCTTCAGGGAACAGCCGCACCACCACACACACGCACCAGGAGGAAGAAGGGAGAAAAACAGATAAATGCAAAAATAAAGCAGCTTCCATCCCGTGTATGTATATGTCTGTATGTCTATTTATATACAAACACGCACATACCCCTATTATTATACATAATCTTTCCCCCTCATCTCTTCTAATGAGAAACATTCCTGTTAACATAACCCTTTCAGATAGCATCATGGCGAACTGGAAGATGGATCTATCAAGGAAGCTAAAGTTTCTTTTCTCTCTGCCTCTTTTCTTGCAAACGAAGCACATTTTTGTGGGTTTCCCCATCGCTGACAAATCAAACCGAAAAGGCAACATCAAAGTATTTGCATTGCAAATGGTTGCATTTAGAAGCAACCCGTGAGGAACTCACATTGCCTGTGAAGGAGAATATAATTTTGTTACTGCTTGCCCTTTAAGCTAGAGACACCTTCAGACACCAAATGTGAGTAACACGAGGATTCGTCAAGAATGAATTGGTAGATTTAGAGTAGGAGACAGACTGACCATTCAGAATTGTTATATTCTCCACCACCACACAAAATTTAAAAAATACATTCAACTAGTGAAAGCGTCTTCCTGCGCATTTTCTTATCACTGTGAAGAAAATTACATTTATTTAACGGAGGGAGGACTTGTAAACGTAAAATTGCGCTTCTGTCCCTATGTCTGTGAGTTGAACTTGTTTTTGTTTAAGAGAAGGAATTAAGTACTTGACTTTGCATTTGTGCATTGCAAGAGGCAAAAGGGGAGGGGGAGGTACTTTATCCTTGACATTACGAAAATTTCCGCTTCTTTTGTGTTTGCAATCAGAGATGCGCTCATTAGCAGACATCACATTAGTTGTGCTTTTTAAAAAGAAAAAAGGGGGGAAAGCACGTTGCAATATTGCTCATTAAGCACCAATTTCAGCATATTGCAATATATTTCTCTTCCAGGGTGGGGTGGGGGAAAAGGGAAAAGAAATAAAAAGATTAACTACATTGGGAAAACAGACAAAGACATCTGGAGCCAAGCACAGGGCTGTATTATTGGGCCAAGAAATTCCTATAAATTTGAATGCAATGATGAAAACAATGAACTCCACAACAAATGTCTAGTTAAACGCAGAAGGTTCATATTAATTTGGCTATATCATATCGCATACGTATGTGTGCGTATATATATATATATATATATGCATGCGTAGGTACACACACACACACAATTTAACCATTTGGCCATAGGAAAGTCCATGCCACGTTGACCGCAATGAGTCTTTTAAGAGGGAAATACTAATAAAATGGTCAAATAAAATCATAATGTAGAACAGCTTGAAATGTCTTTATTTGCCACAGAATTTCACAGAGTTTCCCGGGATTCATTTCTTTACATACACAAAGATTTATTTATAATTGTGGTTGTTACTGTTGTTCTTGTTCTTGCTGCTGCAGTTTGGTCTCCCACGTCCAGGAAAGAAAGGAAAAAAAGCATTTACATACCATTTAAGAGACAGTTATTGCGAATTTATTGTAGTCCATTCCCCATTCCTCCCCCCCCCGCCCATCCCCCACCCCTACCCTCTCTCCAGATGCAAAGAGGGGAAGAAAGAAAGAAAAAAAATCAAACCTGGGACTGCATAGAATATGAATATATAAAAGATACATGAGGGAATCAATGGAAATCACATCCTTATAGTGATACCAATTCTTGGACAGGTTATTTAAATTAGATTTCAATGAACAACAGTCCTTGGCATGTACAGCAGTGGAACCCTGATGGAGTGGAGTGCGTGTGCACGGATGAACACGTGTGGGTAGATACACACACACACACACACACACACATCTGCACGCACACTCAGGCAAAGCCCTCCTCCCAACCGAAGACTTTGGGAGGCGCTTTTGCGTAGATGCATCATCAACTTGCATATCAAAATAAGGAGAAGTAGGTGCATACTGTCGTGAACACAGCACTGTAGTTTCCTCCATCGAACATAGATGATGATGATGATGATGATGAAGATGAACCGAACAAAACAAAACAAAACAAAACACCGATGATAAAAATAATTCCATTTCTTCAAGACTAAACGTTAAATTAAAAGTTCATACAGTATTCAAGTCCTTTCAACGTTTAGGTAATCGGGAAAAGTGTATAAACCCTGAACCAGGTCCCAAACATACAAATATAAGGAAGGGCGGAGAAGGTTGAAAACTCTGAGGGTTGCTTGAAGACTCCACAGTCAAACCGTGCTTGCAACTTCCCTTCTTCATACACAGAATACTTCAACGAGCAGAGGATGTATTTTTTATTTTTTTATTTATATATATATATAGATATGTATATATAATATACAAAAGAGGTTCACAATAAGGGATTTCCAGAGAAATACTGCAGGCGGTCTCTGCTTAGTTTTTTTTCTTTCATCCTTCTGTTCTGAAACCAAATTTTAACTTGTCGATCAGTGAGATTCAACATTCTGGACAGCTGCAGCCTTTTTTCTTTGTTTATGTAGACATTGAAGAAAAATTCTCTCTCTAGCTCTCTGATTTGGAATTTCGAATAGGGACATCGCTTCTTTCTTGTGCGGGGGGCACCTTTAGGGGGGAGGGGGGGAGAAAAATATAACCAGGAGGGAGTGAAAATAACTAAGCAAATGACACAACAGAGTCCCAATAACCCCCCCCCCATCACCAAGAGCTCAAATGCATAGCTTCTCTCTCACACGCACACCCATCTGGAAGCACATCCTACGGCCATGTGTAACATCCTAACAGACATGTGTACCACAACACAGCCATGAAGACAGCCTTTCCTGTTTCGAGCCCATGATCATTTTGCCCTGTTTTGGGGGGCTTTTCCAAAGGGATTCCTGAGTGCAATAATCAACAATAACTGCTGGGGGGAAGGAAGCCGGCGAAGCAGCTGGGAAGCACACACGTTCAAACTGCAAATCTGCCGCCTTTCTAACAAGAGTCAGCAAGAGCAACGTTAGAGGGCTAAGAATTCTGCTCTGCATAAGTTTTTGATTATCGGGAACGCCACCCTCCAAGTACATTCAGCACACACATACACACAGAGAGAGAATCAAAGCAACATATCTGAGCAGTCAAAAAAAGGGAAGCAATGTGTTCCCCAAGGCAGCAAACAGAATTGCAAATACAACGTGTGCGCGCGCCTGGGTGTGTGTGGGGTGTGTGTGTGTGTGTGTGTGTAAGTTCATGCAGGACTTAGCGTTCCATTCACCTATGAATGAAAAAATAAATAAAGATCCATGATGCATTTGCTTGATCAGTTGCTTCGATTTAGGGTTGTTGTCGTCGCTTTAAAAATGAAAATAAACCCACTTATATATGAATATCTAATGGCATCTATTAAAATATACTTAAAATGTGCGTGTGTGTGTGTGTGTGTGATAAACACATTTAATAGCAAAATAAGCATTATCTATTTGAAAAGAAATCACCCAAAGAACTACGCCTAAGCAATGCAATTTGCAGGAAGAAAAGCAACAACAAGAGCAAGAACAACAACACAGGATGCACTGAGGACGTGAAAACGTTGCATTCCCTTTCCCCACATTCATAGCAATATAGATATATATTTGAATTTCTGCATGCATTTTCAGTAAGGGGAAAAAATAACACCGCCCGCCCGCCCCCCTCGCTCGCTCGCGTGCATCTCTCAGTGCCTCCTCGCGAGGACAGGAAGCAAGAGCAGTGTTCTGCCCAATTGCCTTTTACCCTCAGAAGCCCGGGACCAAATCCTTTTAAAATGCTCATGTAAGTTCATGATCAAAGTTAATATTTGTCACCATGGTGTGCTTTTAAAATTTCACAGACTCTGAGATACTGTGTCTGCGCCTAACATCTCCATTTTTCTCAAAGAGCCTTTCCCATCGTAAAAATTCTTCTCGTTGCAAGAAAGAGCTTTGTAGGTTATAATAAAATCCTTTGAATGCTTATAAAACTCCACATAAAATTTGACCGACAAAACAGCGGGCTAGTCCCTTAACCTTTCCATTTACTGCTTTCTCTACCTACTCGAGTTGCTGGTTTTGCTCCCTTCCTTGTTGACAGAGGAGGATGAAGCTGAAGAGCCCGGGTTGGTGTTTTCTTCCTCGTCTTCCGGGTCTACGCCTTGGTCGCCGCGGGATGACAGCGCGGTGGGCTGGGAGTCGGTCTCCAGCTTGCTCTCGGTCTTCTGCAAACAGGTCTCGGGCGGGTTCTCGGTGGAGCAGTAGGCGTTTTCGAAGAACCGGTCGAAGCCTTGCGGGAGGACACTGTTTTTGTTCATGCTGGAGTAGAAGCCCGTGGACGCCGGGTGGTTGGAGCTGGGGTGGTGGTGGTGGCTGTACACGCTTTCGTTTTTCATTAGCATTTCGGTCATGGTGGAAGGCGGGAGGCAATCCCTGTGCATCAGATCTTCCGCGGAATAACACGAGGCGTAATTGCTTCTATGGTGCCATTTATTCGAGGGGTCTAGCCCGTAGGAAACCTCTCGCACTGGCTGCACTTGAGAGAGGTTAGTGGAATAAGGGTAGGAGATTTGGCGAGAGGGGGCCTGTGGCAAGAAAGATGACACAGTTGAAAATTCTGGGACGTAATAGGTGCAGCTGGGGAGGTAGAGATTGGAAGCGCAACCTGCTCTCTCTCCAAAGTCAGCACTCCGCTCTTTGCGCGACTGGGAGCAGAAGTTTCCTAGGTTCACTGAGTTAAACATCTTTCTCCTTTTCTTGCTCCTATAGATAGATGTTTTGGATCCGATGTGCAGAGGGGGAAAAATTTGGGAAGGCGAGATGACGCGCTATCCGTCTTAGTCGCTCTCTCCAGGACACGTGATCCAAAGTAGATATTGTCATATATCAGTTTGGAGCACTTAGAAGCGTAGGAGTGGTTCACTTAGGTAAGATCTCAGAGGTTCAAACGATTGGTTTTCAAACACCGCAGAAACATTATGAAAATCAATCGCAGATTTGTATTCATTTTCTTCTAGGCACACCCCTTGTAAGCATTCAAAGCAGATAGCGAGGGGATGGCTGGTGAAGTTCTCTCTCTCTCTCTCTCTCTCTCTCTCTCTCTCTCTCTCTCCCTCTCCTATTTGGATTTTGCTTTCAGTTGTTCAGGAGGATTCAGATATGGGGTTGGGTGGGGGTAGCTCAGGGGTGGAGGAGGCGAGGGAGGGTCTAAAGGATGTGTTAACTGTAATTTTTCCTCTCTTACTTTTTTTTTAGGGGGTTCTTTCCATGCAAGTCACATTTTAGGCATGATCAGACATATTCTTTTATTTCCCCTTTTCTTCTCTTCTTTGTCTTTTTTCTTTTCTTTTCTTAAAAATGTGGATTCAACTGTTAGAAGCCCAGGGGACTGGATAAAGATTCTTCAGTAAGTTTTCAAACATTTCTCAAGATCTTGCTCCAGGAGTCCGGGGTACATCTCCATATAGTGGATGTGGGTGGGTCTTTGGAACAGATAGGTATATAGGGGAGCAACTGGCAAGTTTCTCACGTTTATTAATTACTTAGATGCCTATGTAGGGATCTCATGTATGCATAAGGACACCTAATCTGCCAAAGAGAATGCACACCTCCTGCAGCATATCCCAAATATGCGAGGAGCCGAATAAACTTTGAAACTTTTCTAGGGATTTAAGCCCGAACCTGAACCCTCTGAGGCATGGGCTTAATGACCTCAGAGTATTGGAATTAGGGAGGATACATCAGGACATAGGACTAATAAATATTCGAAAGCCCCCTTTAACGTTTGGTTAAATATTTATCATGTAAGAGTGGTATATTGAATATTTAATGCAGCTGTTTATTGTCAATCAATGTATGTTCACGGTGCCTTGCGACCTTTATTCTGCCAGCGAAAGAAAAGGCAGGGGGGGTGCACTGAAAAAAATAAATAGGATTCTTATTAAAGTCATTTGTCCTTGTGTTTGGTGCTCTTGGAGTCTCTCACCGCCCACCCTGTGATTCCCTCAGATTTTTAAAGCTGGAAGAAGGAATATTTGTAAAAGGTGTCTTGTAGAACATTCCTCATGACTTTCAGACAATTGTTAACCTAAAGTGTCTTCTTTCAGTCATGATCCAGAAAGCCATGCTGTAAAGGCGTTTAGAGAATATTGACAGTTGATAGAGGCTGCTGGCATATCCAGGAAAATCCCCCTAAACAAAGGATGCGTGCTTAAAACTCTCCTGTCTTTTAGATGATCTGGAGCACACATCACACAGGCTCATCAAACAGATTTTGCGCCTGAATTGACAACTTTTTCATTTGTTTTTTTATTTTAAAAAAGGTCCTGTAATTGATCTGCAAAGAAATAAATAAAAATGTTTAGTTTCCACCTGATGCAAAATATCTCCAATATTTTGTTGTCTTTTTGCTCTCATCTCTGCCTTTATTTCTGTTTTTTAATTCACTTTGCTCTCTTCAAAGAAGTGTGTGTGCGTGCGGGCGTGTGTGTGTGTGTGTAGGACCCAACAACTTTGCTTTGTTTACATAGAATCCTCCCGCCTTAATCTCCATCGCTGGCTCCAGTTTTGGACAGTTTAAAAGCCTCATAACAAAATTCACACAGCATCAGGAGGGCAAAATGACTTTACTAGTGATATCCTGTCAATTCGTGTTGCAGTAAATTAAACTCTCAGGAACAAATAACAAAGTCCAGGAACATGGCGGGCTGGTATATAAGAATATGTGGGAACTGAGGGGTTGTTATTTTTTAACGTGATGGTTTTTGTGGTTGTGAAGCTTTTCCTTTGGGTAAGCCTTGAACAAATCCTTAAGAAGAAGAAGAATCTAGCAACTTGGGATACAAAAGGAGACGCTCTGTGATGACCTCATTTGCCCCATAATTCATTTTAATTTGGGAGGCTCTTTTTACTTATAAAACCACCAGGTAGAGTTTAGTCAGCAGGTAGAACAGATACCTAAGCAGTCTGCAGCGACGAAGACGCCCCAGGAAAGGAAGGGACATCTGCTGAAACCAAAAAGGGAGGATGAGATTAATGAACAGAATGACTGAAACGAAAAATGATTTTTGGTCACGGGGAGGAAACTGACTATATCGGACAGGAGATCAAAATCTTTAAAGGTCGTGTGTGTCTCGGGACTGAAGCATAGCCTTAAAAACCACAGTGGGACTTTTATAGGGTGGGTTTCTTTCGAATCCAGAGTCTTTATAAAGTGATCTTACAGACAAAACCTAAAGAAAACATGGCGGCTCTCTCTCTCTCTTTCTCGTGAAGCCCTCTGATCAACCTGTCCTTTTAATTTCATACGCCTACGGGCGACGTTCTTCACTTTCGACTGTTCTGCGTCTTTGGACGTAGGATGCCTCCCCCGCAGAGGGTTCAGATAAACGCGCCTCCAGGTTCCAAACCATTCTGAGCCTCCTCACCAAATACACACCTCTGCGCATGGGGAAGAAGAGATGGGTGTGTGTTGTGTGTGGGAGAGGGGGGACAGGAGTAGTGCAAGGCTTCTGCAGGGATGGTCTGTTTTGGTTCTCTCCTTCGCTCTGCTGTTTATGAGTTAGATGCTGCTTTAGACACAAACTTTTAATTAAAGTGTCAGGGAGCCTTTAACTACCCCTTTTTACGCAGCAATATTCATGCTAACTACAAACTAATAAAAATATTGTTTACGGGGATCATTATTTTCCTCCACTCCTACTTACCAAACACTATTTATTGAACCTGCCCGAAGTGGGGTGGGGAAACTGAAGAAATTTGCAGTGCTGGGTGCTGTTTCGGAATGGTTCTGCAACATCTCTTGCAAAGTGAGTTGCCCCCGCCCATTCCCCCCACCTCTTCTTCTTTATTCCTTCTTTCCACTTTTCCTGGTGGGGCAGAAATTTCTCCTGTGTCTCATCCGGCTGCATTGGTGGCGAGCAGAAGGGGTCTAAAGCGGGTGGCTGTTGAAAGCATGTGGGGTATAACACACAGGATATCTCCTCTAGGTGTGCGAATAATTTATTGCTCTTAATAGGTAGATATAAGCTCAAGCGAGCCCCAGTGCCGTTGTGTTTTTAAAGCCCGGTTTAAAGTATAGGATTTGTCGGCTTCCTGCGAAGAAGCACAGAAAAGACAGCTGTGGAGCCACAGCACTTGAATTTGAACCACCAAAGTCAATTCCCTGACTACCATAAAACAGAAGAATGAAGGCTGGAAGTCTCACATTCCTTTTGGTCTCCACTAAAAATATATATATATATAAAACAACACAAAAAACCCAACAGCCCATTGAGCATAAACCGTAGAGTTCTTTGAGTGCTTTACTCGTTGATAGATTTCATATTCACAGCCAAGAAATACTTTTAAAAAACTTTTTTTAAAAAAAAAATAGTTGTCCAAAAACCCTCTTTAATATATACGGGAGAGAGAGAAGAACTAAGAAAGGGAAAAACCTTTCAAAGTAGGTGCGTTATGACAGTGTCTCCCCAAGTTGTGTGATGGTGTGACTCACTATGAAGATGCATAAGGAAAGAGCAGAGCAGGCAGAGAGAACAGGATTGTGTCAATTGCCAGGCAGAGCTTCCTAGGTGTAATTAGACATATGTATATGTTCACCCGGCTGGTTGTTTGTGGCTCGCCAAGTGTACTTCAACATGGCATTGCTGTGTTAATCAGGCAATACGTTCCCTTCTTCTGTTGCCGGGTCATTTGCCCGACAGAACCAAGATCACACTATAAACGCATCCCAGTATTTTGTTATTGTTATTATTATTTAGGCAGAAAATTGTATCCACGTGGACAAGACTTTCTAGGAAACGTACTTTTCTGTGGGTAAAATGAACTTTGAAAGAACCCAGCTCCGATTATAGTTGTGGCGGGTTTGGCCAAAGAAATGTTCCCATCGTGGTCAGGACTCCGGTCTCTGGGTTTGTTTGTGTACATTAAGCGAATCAAGACTGAACGGTACATGATGGCCAAAGAGGGTTTGGGAATAACTAACAAACCTTTGCCAACTAGTCTATGGACGGCAAAGGTTTGTAGGTATGGTCGAAACCCGCCTTGGATCTCATATGAACTAGTTTCATCGTCCTCTTATCAGTTTGGGAGATAAATTAACATATGTAAATCAGTGCAAATTTCGATTAACTTCATGGTCCACACCGATTAATGCTTTCATTCAGAGATCGTCATACTGGTCTCTCTTCTAGAAATGTGCAGACTATGACACAAAGACTACCTTCTAGAATATGCATAAATGTAGATATTCTAATCTAAATCTCTATTTTCCCATCTCCCAGCATCTCAGTCATAGGCACATGTACTACCCAACCCTAAAGATTTTCCTAGGGAGAAATGGGGTCACGAAAATGTTGTTTACCTCTTGCCTTTTGGCCTTTTCTTGCCGGATTTCCCCCGAATTTCAGAATGAAGCGGACGCCCCTTAGATATTTCTACGGCCTACAATAAGATAGGTTCTCTATACAGGGGATGAAGGATTACTTTTGTGAGGTTCGGGGATGGGAAGCCACCCAAACATTTCAAGCAGCCGTTTTCGCATGCCTTCTTTGGGCCAAAGAATCCCAAACTTTTGACACTTTAGGATTGTGACCTGTGAGTCTTCAGCGATGCAGCTCACTGGAAGCAATTGAGTCCCATTGAATCCTATGCATTGACTTACAAGTCAATGTGTTTGGGATCACAGCCTAGGAATGATTTTTTTCCCCGTGCAACAGCAAGGCAATTACTTCCCAAGGAAAAATAAAATACCCCGATGTATTTAAATCAAGCCAAAGGGTACTACAAACCTTCGCCAGCAAGCAGATTATCCTCGACTGCTTGTGTGTTCAGGAAATCCGGGGCCAGAGACAATAGCTACAAGTAGGAAGCTCTTGGAAAATATTATTGTCCCCCAATGGCAAAGATAAATTTAATTGGATATAAGCCAGCCTACTAAAGACGACTTCATAAGCTGCTAACGATTCAAAGCGGGGAAGCGGGGAGGGGGAGAATGTTTCAGATCTTCCACAGGCCAGGGTTGCAAGTTCAAAATCATGTGGACCCAATAAAGATAAAAGCTGATAAGCGGTATGCTTCCCAGCCACACGCAAAGTCAACAGTGAGCAGTATAGCTGCGCTGAGGGATGCCCTGACTAGATGCCCCACGCAGAATTCTCCTCTGCGCATTATTGGGGTAATATAAACCATCATAATTGGGAGGATTGCAAATGATACTTGGCATATTGCAATGAATAATAAAGTGCAGTCACTGCTCAGTAGGGTCCGATCCTATGCACGCGAGCAAGTTCGATTGAAGCCCATTGTCTACAGAGGGTTGCTTGGCTTTACTCCCAAGAAAAACGTGCACTGGGTTGCAGCCATATCAATATACATGTAAGGATCGTTAGGTCAGTTCCACTGGTTAGCAAGCTAGAAGCGAATAAAAGGAACTCTTACGCCAACATATTTGGCCGACCCTTCCAGTCCAGACACACTTGAATATATATGCTACAAAGCCAAGTTCATTGGAGTTTGCCAATGGCTTATTCCGCTTTCCAAATGAAAGGGGACCTAGTAATTCACCCAAGAAGCCAATTTTCGGTGTGTTTCAGGTTCCTTTCAAAAAGAATAGCTGCACTGGATTGTGTTCAAAAGAAAGTGGGCCATTGACCAACATAATACACAAACGTTTTAAAAGCACCCAACGTTTTAAATAATAAAATTCTACAACACGCAGAGAGTGAATAGACTTGCATAGATTTTTAAAAAATGCTTTATTGTCTGGATGAGGTTCTCGGGATGTGGGTCATCAAGTCCCAGCTAAGGAATTTTTGTTTCACGTGAGAGTTCAGTTTTATTAGCAAATATCTCCGTATGCACGACATAAGCTTTATTGTAACGGGATAGCTTCTTATTAGATCGTGTGAAGGAAGACACAGCAGCCACTGTGAGTGAGATTTTGCCAAAAGGGGTTTAACTTATATGAAACGTTCTGCTTTTGGTTGTGTGTATGAGCTGGATGTTTTTTAGCTTTTTAGTCTACCTTGATACCTACATTTCTTTCATTTCAGCCAGCAGGCTGCCTTGTTCCCATCAGACACACCGTGATCAAAGTGAAATCTCAACGTTTTTACAGGGGAGGGGCGGAAAGAAACTTCAATAGCTTAGCCTCCCGCTCCCCGATGTAAGTCAGTAGTGCTGGAATCAACCCCAGTATCCACATTTATCAGAATAAAATGAAACAGAATGCCTGGGATAGTTGTGTGGTGACATTCTGCAAACATAGAAACCAGCTATAAGGAATGCTCATTACTTCAGAGCGCCTTTTGGCAATGCTATGAAATATCAGCCTCTTTGTTTGCATGAGGACGTGTGCGCGTGCGCAAGGCAGTCTCTCTCTCTCGTGAAATCTATGTGTTCCTCAATATATGCATATGAGAACAGTTGAAAGTAACTTGATAGCCCACAAGTGCATCTACAGACATCAATTGTTGGAAATTCGCATGAAATGCAACTACAAACGCATGACTCTATATGTGCTTTTTGTTTTGTTGTTTTGAAATCTCGTGAATTATTATGTCTCGTGGTTTCTAGAAATTAGCGGTAGAAGAGTTATTTTCAGTGGGGTACAAGATCTAAATGATCCAGTCAAGATCCGGATCCTGTCCTTTAACAATAAAGTTGCAGGGGGGAGGGGGAGAGTGTGCAGCAATGCATTTAACTTTCAGTCGTGTGCATTCCCTTGGAAAGCCTTCTTGAAATCTCAAATTATATTTCTAAAATGAGGTACTTAGTTAAAAAAAATTACTCGGAACAAAACCCAAGTGCTGTCTTTCTCTGTATGCCATTCCACTTATGAAGTCGAATAGTTATTGTGGTCACGATCCGGCCACAGTTAAATCCCACCAATGTCACTGAGGGACATACTTTATTCACACACACACCCTGAAATTAATTTAAAAGTGACCGTCTTTGGCTGGATCGTGCCTTTGACTATTTACTTGTGTTACAGCTGTGCCCCTCCCCATTTATAAACCCTCTTTTTATTAAATACCAGACACTCTCTTTCTTTCTTTCTTTCTTTCTTTCTTTCTTTCTTTCTTTCTTTCTTTCTCTCTTCTCTCTTTCTCTCTTTCTCTCTTTCTCTCTCATCTCTCCCCCGCCCTCTCTCTTTATACATATATACATACAGAGTGACTTACGAAACAGAAATTTAAAATATCTGTTTTCTTAGTAACTTTATATCGCTTTAGTTATTGCCTTCATCCTACTAGGATTCAGAACCAGCTTGTCTGAAGTGCTGTTTGATGCTTCTATTCTCTCCCTCACGCGCACATTCCATCATTCTGCTTCCTTTATCAGACATACTCCCTTTGGGACTTCTTCAAATCTGCTATTCTGTGCCTGCATATAAAAGGATATTTTTTTACAGTAAGGAGTTTAGGAACTCACATGGTCGCATTGTCCATTTCAGTAAGCGAGAGGGGTGGCTGCAGGGAGACCAAATCCAAACTTGTGCGTCCACTGCACGCTGGAAAAGGATGCAGATTTGTTTGGCTTTGTTCTTAAAATACCTTTAAATGCTAGCAGCGCGATACTAGATATTTTAAACTCGGAGTTCCCGTTGACTTCAAGGATGGGCACATAAGGATGTCTCCTTATAGTGACTCGCATCGTAGGTAACGTTGCAAGTAGCTTGCTGTTTAAAACAAAAATAAAGCAACGCTAATTGATAATGTGTGACTGAAAGGAAAGGACAAGTATATTCCGTGTTGATTTTTTTTAAAAAAAAATACAAACAGAGGTCGTCTCTTTTTTGAGTTGGAGTCCTGCTTACCAGTTTCCTCTGCCATGCAGGGCAAACGAATGAAAAGAAAGCTCTCCCGTGCCTTCTGCGCCACGCAGAAATCCCAAAACAAACAAATAAACAGGACTGGAAGTTCGAAACGGGGAAGAACTGCAGATAGCGCTGCAAACGCACATCTGGCATTAGTCTGGGAAGAGCCACACAAGCGCGCGCGCGCACCCTGTATAGATTAAGCGGCTTTGGAAACTGTCACTGGGAAATCTGTTCGTTTTCTCTAATGGACTAGGAGAAGGATTGTTGTTATATTCCTCGCCCATCCCACAACAATATCCTTGCTAAACAGCACGCACGAACGCCGGGTGTCAAGACAATATAAATGATTGGGTTTGGGGGTTTTTTTGTTCAGAGGCGTCGCGGCACTGCCGCCTCAGCTAAGTAACAACTGTATCCGCTACCGCTATGGAGGAGGGCCATACACCCAGGCGAAATTTATAGCGGCCCCGGCGTTGCGGTTATGATTTTGCTATGATATTACTTGGGAACAAAGTCCCATTGATTCCTTTGGAAATCTACTGTCTTGCAAGGGCGTGGGTTGTTTTTTTTTGTGGGTTTTTTTTTTGGTTTGCTGCTTTTCCTCCCTTACTCCCACCGTCGCCACCGCACTCCCGCGTCGCTGCCAATACGAGAAGAAAATGGGAAGCGCGGTGTGTGTGTGTGTGTGTGTGTGTGTGTGTGTGTGTGTGTGAAGCTACTTGGATAGCCTAAAATTATGGGTTGACCTCGATCGAGATTTAATTCTCCACCATCTTGCGGTGGTAAGGAAGCGAACCTGCTCTTCTCCTCCGTCTCAGCCAAAACAACGACTCCAGCCATTTTTCACATGTTTCCTTCGAGAGGAAGACTTATCTTTCACCATAATGAGAACAGCTTTGCCATTGAGAGGGAGGGGGCGCTTTCTTTTTGGGGGGTAGGTGGGGAATAAATAAATAAATAAATAAAGCCTCTTTATTCACCCACTAGCCACCCACTTTCGCCTCTCTCTCTCTCTCTCTCTCTTTAAATTTCCTCCCTTTCCCTTCCCTTCCCTTCCCCTCTCCTCCTTCACCCTCCAGCCCTTTTCCCTTGTCGCGATATCACCTTATCGGTTCAATCTATGTAAAGACCACCCACCCACTCCCCTCTTTAACCTCCGAATCCCTGGTAGATCTCCTGTGCGCAATTAGGCCCGTTCTGGGACCTCCGACGGACAACCTGTGATATGAGAATGTCTATAATCCAGCCCTCCACAGTAGACAGGCTGCTCAAGACTTTGCAGGATCTCCCCTCATTTCCGCTCTTATTAATTTCAGGCACTCTGATCTATCCACCCCATCCCTCCCACCTCCTCCTTTATTTAAAGATTATACGATTAAGACAAGAAAATCTAAACCCTCCTTTCCCTTATCCCCTCCCCCCACCCATTCTCCCCCTCTCCTTACCGAGCGAACTTCATTGTTTTCTGGAGGAAACCGTAATGTTGAGACATTAAACCCTAATTGGGCTTTTCTTTATGACGTTTAATTTCCTCCATCGCAGACGTGTTTGCATCTTGCTGAAAAAGGAGTTGTTTGAAGTCTGCAATCCCGGAGGGGGGGGGGAGAGGGAGGGGAAAAAAACTTTCCGAGCAGCAGTCGTCATGCGGACTTCTGGTCTCATTCCCACATAGTCTCACCCTTCACGCACCCCCACAGCCTTCCTCTTGATCGTTGCATTCAGATAGCCCCCCCCCCTCAAAATAAGAATGGTGATGTAAAAGAGATGGGGAAATGGGCCGGGGGGGTGTTTAAAAAGAGAGACAGAGACCCATATGTTTACTTGGGTAAGAAATGCGATGGCCATTTAGCTCTGTTGTGACAAATCCATGAAAATGGAGGACCGCCGTATACCATATAAGGTAGGATGCTAACTTGACCTTCACTTTGTAATGGCGGCCCCCGCCCACCCAGACAGACTGTTGTAAACAGAAGTCATCCGACCAAAAAAAAAAAAAGATTAGCACCGGGCAGACAAGGTCTCGCAGAATTGCTAACACATTTGCTGGTTTTTAAGCTGCGGCAAACGAGGTACAATATTCTCTGAACTACAGTAGGGGACGGAGTGGGGGTGGGGGGTGGAGGAGGAGGAGGAGGAGGAGAAGAAGGAGGAAGAAGAAGAGGGGGGCGGGCCTCATCATTGGAGATCAACAAAGGTCTCCCCAGATCTTTAGTTTGCTGTATTAAAGGGTTGTTAAGAGGGGGTCTTCCAACGCCGGGCTTCGTATAGATTACAGCGTCCGGAGCTGTTGTTGTTGAATGTGGCCTTGAGGTAGATCGAGGGTGGTAGGGTGACTGGGTGGGGGGTGGCCGGCGCTTCTCTTAATGAATTTATCTGTCCAGATTCTTAAAAAAAACAGCAATTCTTCATTATGATGACGACGAGGACGGACGATTTACGAATTCACTCTAATTTTAATGCAGGAGGTCATTCAGAAAATCGCCTCTGCTTTTATTTAAATCTATAGAATGTTGTTTACGTCAATCTGAAATGGAAAGTGTTAAAAGAAAGCGCGTGTAGCCTTTCTTCTTTCCTTTTTAAGGAAGGCAACGAGAGTCTCCAGACTCGCCATTTCCGCAGCAGCCAAATCCAAACAGTGGCAAAAAGTTTACCAGAGTGCAGAAAACAGGTTTAGTTTTGCTTTTCGAAATGCTGTGTTTGGGCCCAGGAAAACGCTCGGTCCGTGATTGTCAGTGCGGGGAGTTCAGCCTTGTATGGTGGTGGCGGCTGTTTGCGGGGGTGGGGGGGTGGGAGGGAGGCGGAATCGAGACTGTACCTGATCATATAATATAATTTATTTAGCATATCTTTTTCCTTGTCAGTTACCTAGACATAATGGAGCGCTATCGATAGACGGGTCATGGATCCCGATCCATTGCACGTATTAAGCGATCGTCTCCATTTAAGTCATTTTATTCCCCTTTAAACCAACCGAGTAATGATGGCTACCAAGTTATTGCATCTTTCACAAACTCAGAACTTTTAAAATCAGCGCCGCATACTTCACTGATGCAACGCCGCCAGTCGTTTATATAGATGAGTAACTAGGAAAGCACGACCAAAGACCAATCAATTTCAATGAGGAAGAATTAAGCACGTGCTTAATCGACAACAAGGGGACTTACAAGCGCTTCACTTTGACTGGATCCTGCCCTTTCAGGAATACGGAGGAGGCAGTAAACTATAGGTATTGTTAGGCTGATATTGTATCTCTACATTCTGACGCAGATAACTGGCATAGCAAGCAGAGCATGTTTGTTTGTTTGCTTGTTTGTATGTTTATTTGTGTGTGTGTGTGCGCGCGCGCGCGCGCGCGTGGAGAAACACAACATTCTAATCAGACTCATCATAAGCATGAAAAAGGGTGAACGTGTTCAAGTCTCTGTCGGCAAACACAACCACCTATTGCCCGGTCTTTGCGGGCTAATCGTCGCCTTCATTTCAAAGCTGCCAGCTCCCTTTGATTTTAGCAGCAGCTACTGGGAGGTGTGTTTTGTGGGTGTTTAAAGCCCTTCGTTTGGTGGCCCTACGTGTACCTCTGAGACGGAGTACATGCGTTCTCCTTTGTCATTTACATCCAGAGCTCTGGATTTGTTCCTTTGAATATTATTTATTCCTTTATTCCTATGGCTGCTTTGTGTGGCCCCTCACTGCCCCCAAAAGTTGCACTACCACGCAAATGCATGCAGAACGTGCAGATATTTTGCCCCCACTCAGTCAGGAATTCTCGAGGGACACAAGGGGTGCCGGCAGCAGGACTTTGCTGATTGTGCAACCTTTAAAGGACAATTCGGTGGAACTCACTCCTCAACTGCAGTAAATGGCAGAGCTCTCGCAGATTTTGATGGTGAGTCTGGAAGGCGATCGCTGTTATTAGGACTGCCTCCTACTTCACCCTATTTCATATAATAATAATACTAATGATTCTTTCTTTCTCAAAACCTCACACAGCCTCATAATAGATTAATAGTTCTTCATCACAATGAGATGAATTTTCACATGCCCTTTAATTATAATCTCATCTCCAGCGAACACTGGTTCTGGAGAAGGTAAAGGGGGGTATTGGATACAACTACAAAGATGGTTCCCCCCCCCCTTGGGAAGATTAATGTTGGCTGTGATTCTTAAAAGATCTTCAGATATAGCCCAGGCTGCTTGCATAACAACAATCAACTACCACAAGGCCTTCATCACATCACTTTATTAAAGGGGGAAAGTATTTTTAGCCTGTCTGTTTCAGACCCAGCCAACCATAAACAAAGATTCTTAAATGCAAATGCGGTCTTATTTGGGTTCCAGAAAGGCAAATGAGATTTCTAACTTTTGGGCATGCCATAAAAGGAGAGTTTTTAAAGCCACCTTCACTCTTAATTATGGGAAAGCCCTAGCGTTTCCAAATATAGGAAAACGACTCAGTCCAAGTTAAGCGTCAACTTGCTTCTGAGTAAAACTGGATAGGATCCGGCTGCAAAATTTATCGCTTTCAAGTGGGAGATATTTAAACACCTGCTTTGAAGTTGCAGTTATAGGCAGACACGTTTACTTGGGAATAAGTAAATAAGGGTAGGATGAGGGAGCACATCTCTCTGAAATCTATAGAACTCCATAGCCCTTAACTGGAGCTAGACTGTGTGCACATTTCCTTTCAAATTAAGGTTATTGGGAATAATAATAAATACACGTAGACCTAACCTCATGTTGTTGTTTGTTTGTTGGTAAGTGAGTGGTTTTCTTTAATTGATTCATCAACTCTGCTGGTTAACATAATCTCACAGAAACAAAGGCTGGCTGTAAGAAATTCTAAGCAAACTCTTATGGCTCCTGCAAGGAATACAAATGTATCCATCTTTGTATCTATTCTATCCTTTTCATCTTTATTATCACTCTTGTTAACAACACCAGCGAGGCTTGATACATATATCTCGTTTAAATGCAGTCAACCATGAAGCTACTGCAGTTGGTTGCTACAGACATATTAATTAATTTATTCTCTCAACAGTAAAATATTGCTGTGTCTCCTTGCTACCAACCAAGTCATATAAAAATCAGGGTTTATTTTTTTACCCCCTCTGCAGTTCATTAGGCTTTACCTATAAGTTTCCATTTGAAATGATTTGCTTTAAAACTAATTACTCGTATTCTATTTCATTTCCCAATCCCGGAGTGTAAAATGGATTCAAAGGTGGCGTGGGTGGCATATGTTGGTAAACATTGCTAATTATTCCCACTCTGTCTTGATTGTGTATTTATGAACCCACCCATATAAAAGGGGGAGAAAATACTCAGTAAAAGGTGCGCTGGCATATTGATGATAATGGCACATGTTACTTAAAAGAGTGCGATGTCACTAGGGACAGTGTAAGATGATAATGGAGCAGCCGAGATTTTGTTTAGCAGGTTTCCACTTTGAGAATAAAATATTGGACTCACAGCGCATTCCAATACACACCTACTCAGAAGTGAGCCTCACTGGGGTTAGGCAATGTGGTGCCCTCCAGGTGTGGTGGACTGCCAAAGCCTATCAGCCCAAGGCAGCATGCCCAATGGTCAGGGATGATGGGAGTTGGAGTCCAACATCTGCAGGACGCCACAGTAGACTATTCATGGTGTCTATAGGACTGCAGTCTCAGGGTGAGGAAGAAGAGAATGAGGACCAGAATTGCACACTGGGATGACAACAGAAGGCCCAAGCATAGGCTAGCCCTGCACAATGTCTACCGTGCTCCAGGTGTATTCAGAAAAGACTGTTTTTGGGCCATGGCTTCTGGGAATTTCAGGGACCTCTGTTTGCCTAATCCAGGGGTAGGCAACCGAAGGCCCAGGGGCCAGATGCGGCCCAATCGCCTTCTCAATCCGGCTCGTGGACGGTCCAGGAATCAGTGTGTTTTTACATGAGTAGAGTGTGTCCTTTTATTTAAAATGCATCTCTGGGTTATTTGCAGGGCATAGGAATTCGTTCATTTCGCCCCCCAAAATATAGTCCGGCCCCCCACCTGGTCTGAGGAATGGTGGAACGGCCCATGGCTGAAAAAGGTTGCTGACCCCTGGCCCTAATCCCTGAGTAAATTGCAATCTCACTTCCAAACAAGTGGGCAGGGCAGACCACTTGCCAGGGGAGCTAGTTGATGGTTACACCTCCTGGGCTGATACACTTCCTTAATCCCAATGGCAAGGATTTGATCCTCTGTGTTTGCATTTGCTGAAGAGAGGTTAAGCCCACATCAGTGCTCTTAAGGTATTTATTTACCCCTCCAGGGATATCTCTTCTGGTGTGGCTGAGGATTAATACCGAAATAAAATCAGAAATGAGGGGAAAGTAGATGTTGCTTTCATTAAGCAACATCTAAGAGTCCTCTCTGATGTGGTTTTAAGCTCTTCTCATGTGTTAGCCCTCTCAAATGGAAAACAATGGGACTTAAAGTGTGTTTAACTCTGACTGGATAGGATCTATCATTATCATGATAAAGAACCCAAGAAAAGGTAACCACTTTAAAGTCCTGTTGATTACAGTAGGGTAATCAGAGTTAAACACCTGATTAACTCAAAGAGCTTTTAATTTTGAGTAGATCGTGCCCGTTTGTATAACTAAGTCTACTACTCCCACATTGCACCTATATGATAGCGTACCTAGGGTGCCATTAATATAGGGTGCTATATTAATATTTACATAATGTTATGTGAATATTCATTTTTAAGCTTCTCGTTTAAAAAGGTTGGAAAGATTGATAATGAGGGCTTTAATATTTCCTCCGGAACACGCCTGGCCCCAATCTTCTGATCGCCCTTTGCTGTTCGGTGTCCCGAAAGAAGATGCATTCGTAACAAAGCCTATCCGTTTTCGAAAATAGACACAGTTTGTACGTGGCAAATGGCGCCTAGTGTCATGCACGAGCGAATGACCCTATATAATGGAATTTCATTTTTTTAATGCCCTTCACGACGATATTTGTTATGTTATCTTTTTTGCTTTCTCTTCAGTCTGCGGGGTCTTTCCAAAATACCAGAAGAGCATGGGAATGTTTGCAAAACATTTTTGGCTGCAGCCGTTGACGGGATGAAAGCCAAGGCAAGGGAAGAGACAGACAGATAGCTCTGCCACAGATCCTCCGTGAAGTCCAAGAGCAAGGCTTGCTGACCCCCAAGCGAGGGACCATTTGTCAAGGGGGAAGACATCCCGTGCGTCCGGGAAACCGCGAGAAACAGTATTTCAATTGTCTTATATATGCTTCAAAATAGCACCGATTATGAATTCTCAGTAAGTAGATATGTGGCAGTCACTGCAGAGGCTAAGCTTACCGAAATATAAGATAGATACAAGGATTAAAGAGAGAGACAGACAGATGGATAAGATGGACAGACAGAAAGCGGAGGCAGGCCAACCAGTATTCCACATTTGCACATTAGCACGAGACAATGGCGTTTTAATAATTTAAAATAAAATATTTTTTTAATCACTGGATTGCACTTTTTTAAAAATAATAATAATAATAATCCATGCTAACATTTTCCCTACTTGGTAACTTGAAGGAAATGTGTCAAATACTTGTTAGCATTGTTATCCGGATCATAAAAGCTGCCTTCTTACTTGGGAACAAGTTCCATTGGAATAACTATGCATAATGCGACATGCTGCTGCTGCTGTTGGTGGTTTAGTAAGAAGGAAAAGGACATCCTGTTAAACCGATCCTGAATTTTGGGTGGTAGTTATGGTGGTGATGCGTGTGGAGCTTATCTGATACTGGCGAGCAAGCAAAACACATCGCTGGGGTTTTCTTGGGACTAGCATGCATCGCTTCAGATCTATAATATATAATTACTCTTTGCACCATCTTTCTGCACTGAACAATGACTATTATGTGCATATGTTCAGCCCCAGAGGGTAAATTCTCTATTTCCCCCCGATAACACATAAAACATTTGCTCACAACCCTTTCGGTATAGAGAACACCTATAGTAAAATAATAAGGATAAGGATAAGGGTAAAGTATTACTTGATTTTGGATCAAGCCTATGCGCTTTTGCATATTTCCCATAATTTTGGAATAATTTGCACTGTTGAAATACAACTTAACTGGGTGTGTGCCTGTCGTTGGTGGTTTTTCCCCTTATTCTCTTGAAGGCAGAATTATTCTTTGCAATTCAGGAGATGGGGATATACTTTCCGCTTCTTAATGAATTCATTTTAAAGCCATAGCTATGAAATACACCCCTATATAAAAAAAGCAGCGGCAGAAGCAGCAAGCAAGCTGAGGAACAATACGCACTTTTACTGCGAGCAACAATTTGTCCTAGCCACTCACTGGTAATAAATAAGTTTTATCTATTTGGGTGAGTGTTTAAGCGTCTTTGGAACCAAGCATTCCCTCTTCAAGGTGAACCGATCCACAATTTTCTACACAATTTATGCCTCTATATACAATCCAGGCTTGTTGGAGATGATCCAGAACCCTATTCACTTCTGTGGAGCCCTTAACAGTCCTCATATGACAACCAGCGTTCCGTGCACACCTCCAGTAAAAGAGGCAGAAATGATATTTGTGTGGGTACTTCTTTCGAAGAAATGAGAGTGAAAAAAGAAAAGAGAAACCTTGTGAGTGAAATCTATATCCTTTTGAAGCCAAGGGCAAGTCTCCAATTGATTTTAATGGTGGTGAATGACAGCTCTTGAAAGCACGGTGGGGAGTGATTCAGTGAGATGGGCACCCCTAAACAGATGCACTTGAAAGAAAGTCCTGCAGAGATACACCAAGGTCCTCTGCGTCCTTACACAGAAGTAAGCCCCACTTAGTTGAATGCAGGTTACTCCCTAGTAAAGGGTGCATAGAGACGGTATTACTGCTGCTGCTGCTAGCTCTTTTGAGTGTTCAGAGCACTTCAATCCCTACAACAACCTTGTACGGTAGGTCAGTGTTATTAAAGGTGAGCAGGGTGAGGTTGCCAAGTTCGTAGCTTGCCTAGCGCCTGCTAGGCTGTAACGCTACACAAATTTGCCTGAGAGTTAATTCTATTGAACTTAATGGGGCTTACTTCCGAGTAGGCATGTAGAGAATTGAACTCTTAAGGGCCGCAGCGAGGTTTGTACCAGGGACTAGCCCTCAGCGAAACTTGCTTCCAGATAAGCACCTTAGGCTCGAATTATTGCAAGGAAAAGAACGCACCTAGAGTTTTCTGTGCTAGGGGTATCAAGAGTTACCTATCTATACCTCGAGACATCCATAGCCGCCATTATTAGCATTTAAATGAATTTGTGCCGGATTCTTAAGGGGAGCAGTGTGAATATTAGAGGAGTCGGTGAATGTTTAAAGGATCAGGGCCCCGTTGTCTTGCAACTTCCCATAGATCTCAATTACTCTTGATGTATCACAGAAATGGTTTCCCTTGAAATGGGTATTACATCCTAAAAGCTTCTGGGCTCATATCCAGCCCAGGTACTGAACTGTATCGAGTTCCAAATGTAGAATGTTCACCTACAAAGGCACTATAGCCCTATGAACAAAGAAGCAACGTTTTATATCATTCGTGTCATTAAATTTTAACTCATAGCCCGCTGCTATAATTTCTTCCTGGACTTTATGAAGGATTTCCTATTAATTTCGCGCGCGCGCAAACACAAACACACAGACACCCGCCGCTCCACCCAGTATTTTAAATGTGTGCGATGGGGTCAGAGCTGAATTAAATCGGATGCTGTTGCCGACAAATAAGAGGAGGCTGACCAAACCTGGTATGTTCACCTTTTAAATAATATTATGCCCACACAATATACAAATCAATGCATCCCCCATGATCCGTCTCCGCTACCGATACGTGTGCGAGTGTCGTTTGGTCACAATTGCAGCTCCTGCACACCACAAGCCAAGCAGCCTCTCTGGCGCGTCAATATTATGTATGTTCAGAAGGGGGCGTCGCGGGTTGGGGGGAGGAGAGAGGAGTTAGCAGACTACATCACCGATCTCGAACAATTGCCTTCGCGCAATCTCTTTCTTTCCTTAATGCACCTATACCATAAGAACACAGAACCTCTTTGCAAGGAAGTGCCTTCTTCTAATAACAGGACTAAAGAAAGCGGAGAAAATAGACTGGCATAAGCTCACACCTATCCTATTCCCACTTATTAAGAGCCGAAGGAGCAAAGGATTCTACATGGGGATGAGCAATTCTTGATCCGCTTTTTGGAGATGGTCTCTCCCTCCTCCCCTTCACAATCCACTTATTGATCTTTTAAAAGGTTTTTGGCGTGCGCGCGCCTGCCGGTGTGTGTATTAATGCATTGCTCCAGCCTCCACTAAACTTTATGGTTGAACCTAAGACCTGAAAGGTGGATAAAGCCATTACATGTAAATCTTCCTTTCCAGAGGAAGATTCCCTCTCTCTCTCTCTCTCTCTCTCTCTCTCTCCATACATACATACACCCCCATCCCCTACCACTCATACAACCTACACAATTCATGAAATTTAAATTGACTCTGTGGAATCGCTGCTATAAAGGCACCTGGCTGGATATTCAGAAGAGAGAATAAAACACGAAGCCAACGGGAGGAATTAAATATGGGCTTATTGAAGAAGATCGAATCCAAGGCTCGTGAGGGTTTTTGTGTTTTGTTTTGGAGGTGGGGTATTTGTTTTGTTTTTGTTTATATTACAAGAGTTGCAGATTTAAATTAAAGCGTCACTTAATTAAAAAAATAATAATCCATGTCATTTTAAATAAATAAATATCTTCCCCCTTTAATCTAGGGGAACTTTGTCTTGGCCTCAGTTGCTCCTGAAAGGGGACAAAAAGAAATATACTGGTGACACTTCTCTTTCCCAGAGAACAAAATATCAGTAATGATTCCGTTTATAAGCAAGGCCACCAGGAGACCTCCCCCCCCAAAAAAACCCCCCCTTATATTCGCATTAAACGTTAACATCCCAGATTCATTTACTCTCTTATCTTCTTGGATATATTTTTTTAATTATAGGTATCATTGTGCTCCGAGGCATCCCTTACTTTACAACCTATTTTATATATCCACTTAATTATTTTTTTAAGGGAAACATGATCTATATACCTCCAAATGTTTCATTGGCTTATTTCTGTGTGCGCGTTACTCTTTTACTAAGCTCTCCCGGTCCTCCAACAGTCGATAGTAAATCACCAACCAGAGGTTTGAAACATTTTATTTATTATCAGAAATCACATAATAATACATTCAATTTATTATTATTATTATCATTATCATCATCATCATCATTATTATTGTGAAACAACTTTTTACATGACTATATAAAGCCGGGGGAACGTGCTATGGACAGACATTTGCATAGGCCCTACATATAATAGCTTGAGGTAAGAAACATTACATATGGACTATATTGCCAACGATGCATATTTAACAACAGCAGGAAACTAGACTAGAGAATAACAAGCGAAGGACCGAGCCACAGACACCGGGAACTAACACAAGACGAACAGAATTCACACGGAATAATAATACTTCAATGCAATCTGAACGAGAATATTGCATATATTTCAACTTCTTCATTTTCAAATTTTAAATTATCACTCCCCCTCCCTTTAAAAAAATCGTTGAAATGGCAGCTGAAAATCGCCTGTTATGTGCAGTTACACACCAAGGAGACCATTCCCAGGACTCAAGATTCTTGCTGGTGGGTTGTGTATTGTATTTCTAAGCGTAAAACTCCTTCGCCGTAGATAGAAATCGCTCTCGGCGCGTAAAATATTAACATCAAGACAGTCTCTCGGTCTCTTTCTCTCTGTCTGTCGCCTGCCACAATTTAAACCGAACGCTGCGTTATAACATTGCCCCTTAAACGCTCAAAACCTTGGTAAGCCAGCCGCCAACCCCTCCCAAAACGCAACCTTTTGCCAGCGAGTAACATGTCATCTCTTCAAGAGGAAGCGATGGTAGCAAACCAAGTACAGTACTGATATGTCTGATTCCTCGAACATGTTCCTCCTTTACCGCACAGACACAAGACTTCTAGATTTATGCAACACACTCCATGACATTTCAGTTGGCTGAAAGTCGTTATGTTGACCGAAAATGCTGCTTCTTTCTTATTAATATTATTGAGAAAACTGGGACAAAATGGATGGTGACAGCGCTACCGGCTTAAGCGGTTTCATCGGACTGCTCTGTCCAAAGGAGGCAAAGCACAGGCTGGAGACAACGGGAATGGCGTTAGACTGAAGCCTACAGTTTTCTGTTCTTCAAGGTACCTTTTTGGAGAAATAGGTAGGCGTCCTCCACATTTAGCCGCCTAACAACACAGACACCCACATGTGCTCTGTTCATTGCACATAACTGGGGAAAAAAATATATGGATGTCTCTCACACACGCGCGCCCCCCCCAATCTATTGCACGTAATTGTGACTGGGTACCTATTAGATTCACAGGCAGAGGATGCCTCTTCTTTTACAAAGGTTAGAGTTTGTAAAGGGGAGGGGTGAT